CTGAAGAGTGTGGTGAACCATCCATGTACTTTGAGAAAGCTGTCTTACCTGATCCTACTCGTGGACAGTATGGACCTTTTTTCAACGATCGCCGTCACCCTGAATTTCGTAAAAAGCAGCACGATTTTCGAATTAATAAGAGCAAACCAAAGGTCTGTGATACTGGATACTGTGAGGAGCATAAGTTAGAGCTAACGGACCCAGTGCTTGTGAGACAACATCGAATTGCAGTGTATGATTTTGAGACTATGCAGGAAAATTGGGTGGAGAAGATTGACAGTGATGGAAAGAAGACTAAGGAGTATCGACCGTTTACAGTAAATGCTGTGGCTATGAGTCATTTGTACGCTGACGAGGGGCAGGATGAGCCATTCACGCGGTACTGGTGTGGGGAGAATGCACTGACAGAGTTCGTCGAGTTCATACGTACCAGACCATCTGATGTTCGTGGCGGTGGTCTGTACTATCGCGGATGGCAGTTCTTGGCTCATAATGGGAGTCGGTTTGATACTTGCTTCATCAGGAAGTACTGTATCAGCAACAACATACCTACTGCAGGATTGGAAACGGGTCGAAAGATCAGATCACTTGCCTTGTCTTTAACTAATATCAAACCTGGTCCTGACAATGGGAACAACAGTGTTTCTACACATCGTATTGGGGGTAGCCATGTAACGGATACTTGCTGGTCAATGACTGTGACCTTTGTTGACAGTATGGATTTTATCGCCACAGGTTTGGCCAAGTTCCCCAAGATGTTTGGTCTCAAGTGCGATGCTAAAGGATATTTTCCCCATCAACTTAATACACGTGACCATCAGAATGTAAAGATGTCGACTCTGCCAGATATTAAGTACTATGGTCTTGATGATATGAGTCCCTCGTATGCAATGGATGTGGAGACATGGCATAGGAAGAATAGGTTTACATCTCGGTTTGATCTACAGGAAGAAATGAAACGGTACTGTATCAATGACGTGATTATACTGTGTGAAGGGTTGAAGGTGTTTATCGACGCTTTTGTTAAGCTCGGGCGCGTGCATCCTTTAGGTAATCTAACTATTGCCGGTGCGTGTATGAGCGCGTACGAGAGCACGTACCTGCCAAAAGAGATTATGATTGAGCATACACGACCCAAGCCCGTTGTACAGACGAGCAAGGAGGCCGTTACATTTTTCAGCGGGTTGAACCAGATGATTATTACCGGTATGTCACCCACTGTATGCTATTTCAACAACGGATATGCCGAGGCAACTGGGTGTAAGGGGTGGGGGTATGGTATACCTCTGAACGCAGATCTGTATAGGAACGCCAGGTATGAATACCGTGTGACTGTGGGAGAGAGGACGTTCATCGCCGATTGTTACTTGCCTGCTGCCGATGGAGAGTCTGGGCCTGGTACTATTATAGAGTTCAACGGGTGCTACTGGCATGGGTGTCGTGACTGCAATATCCATGTGTACAACGAGGGAAAGGGTGAACATGAAAGAAGGTACGTCAACACTTTGGAAAAGGAGATGACAATCAGAGCTGAAGGGTTTGAATTTATACCTGTATGGGCATGCAAGGCCCGTAAGTTTATTCGGTATTGGACACATAATAATATAACCGATATGGTAGGACCGACACTGCGTATCGATCCCCGAGAGAGTATGGCTGGAGGGCGGACCGAGCCGTTTGCAAGCCTTGTGGAGGTTGCTGGGAATGGACGGTGCACGCTACATTATGTAGACTTTACCAGCTTGTATCCATATGTTAATGCTTTCAAGGAGTATCCTTGCGGACCGATGACAACGCTGGTCAAGGATCTGCTCATTCCCGTGTTACCGTATAAGAGCAATCGTCCAAAGAAATTGTCCTTTGGGCTCTGTGCTGCGTGTATGCTCAGGGCCGCCAAATTCGATCCTGATGTTGAAATGTTTCAGGATGGTGACAGTATTTGACACGTGCTGGTATGGCGGATATTGAAAGGGAGACGTTGTTTGAACCATGTAATCATACAGACGAGGAACGTAGCTGGATTGAGACGTACACAAGCGTGGATATCAAGCTAGCGTTGGAGTATGGGAACGAGTTCCCAAACGTCTACGAGATCAACATGTATGAAGGTCGAAGCACCGTGCTGTTTAAGGATTACATGAGTTCAGCTATACAGATGAAAATCAAGGCTAGCAAACCACCTGCTGGGACACGTGAGGAGCAGGAAGAGATACTGGACTGGTACCGTGATGAGATGGGTATGACTGATCTGAGCTTGGACGATATTGAACTCAATGAAGGAATGCGTAACACATCAAAAATCATTGTTAACAGTCTCTGGGGAAAGTTTGGACAGCGTGCAGAGTACCCTGATAAAAAACTGTTCACATCATACGAAGAGTTTGCAGAACATCGTGAGAGATACCCAGATAAGAAGATGGTCGACTTTAGATTCTGGGAGGAGGTTAGCGATGTCATGGAGGCCAGGTTTAAGACAGATCGAGCCAACATTGTAAAGCACAGCACGTTCTACCAACCACAGCTAGCTGCATTCACTACAAGTCACGGGCGAGATGTGTTGTACAGAGATGGGATAGCGAAGCTGCATCCAACACAGATCGTATACTGTGATACGGATAGTATCGTGTGCATCTATGACAGAGACAATCCAAACCACAAAGAACCGTTCTGTCCTGAAGTGTATGGGTCAGGTGATGGGTTTATACTGGGTACTATGAAGGATGAGCTCGAAGGAAAGGTTATGAAGAGATTCTACTCACTGGCACCAAAGACATACGCGTACGAAAAGGAGATTACAGCAAAAGACAAGGCAAAGGTGGACGCGTGTCAGGACGAAAATACAAAGAAGCGTCTACGTAGCATGTTCACAGAGGAGATCAAGTCAAAAGGATTCTCATTAAGTCGTGGGTGTGTGGAGGGAGAGGGATTTAATGTAGATAGTTTTAAGGAAATGGTGTTGGGGAACCTTGAGGAGATCAAAACACATGTAGAGGCAGGTCTGTATCGGAGTATGGACTTGGGTGAGCCACGTGTAAGATCCGAAACAAAGGTGCTTAAGCGACCAGAGTTTATCAAGCGAAAGCTGTTACCAATGGAAAACCACAAAAACTATAGTATACTTAGATCAGTGCCTTGGGGCTATGTAGAACAATAGAAATGCAAATAAACATATATGAATAAATATCGCACCTTTACAATAGTATGTCATTGTGCTGGAAGAATGCAGCCATGCGGTGATCAGGGGAAAAATGGGTTGTCCTTTGTCGGACGTTCCCCCATGTCACGTAGTTGTTGTTTCTGACGATACGTCAGTAGATCAAGCACTCCTTTTTCAATACAATCCTCTACCACATCGTAATTTTTGTATAGCACAGCCGACTTGAATCTGATCACCAGAAATCAGATAATTCAAGTCGTAGACTTTTGTGATTCGACGTTCACCCATCGTTTGTGTGTACGTGTGTGTGTGCGTGTGTGTGTGCGTGTGTGTAAAACATCATACATACCTCCCATAATAAGGAATAATGCAGAAAGAAGATTTCCTGCATCCGTCTGTCACGGTCAAATGGGTTGTCTGATGTTAGTGTCTCGCCCATACCCATTTTTTCTTTTTTGGTCTATAATGTTGCTATTAAGTACCGTGTATAAAAATGCAATTATGTAAAAATGAAACTGTTATATTTGAATTCTTACGTATGTATATTTAAAAGAAAGCATTGCTTTAGTGTTAAAGATTGTCATATGTCACAGTTTGTGTTTCTGTAAATATTCTAACGAGTTAAAATGTTTGAAATCAATTGGTTACGAATTTTAAAATGTTGGGACCGTTACATGGTCACTGGTTTATGGTTTATTATAAATAATCTGATAAAGGTGAAATCTATTGGGTGTGGCTTTCAAATAATGGTAATGGCACATGTTATATAAATTTAGACTAATGAGAACGTGTCAGTTATGTTGTTGAATACTCTTTGATTTTTTACTAAGTTTTTTAAAAAATAAAATAAATGAGTAGCTTTTTCATTTTTGACTCTCTGAATTTTTATTACGTTTTGAAAAAAAATAGAGTAAATACCGATACTCCATGAGTGGTGATGTGCTACTCCCGAGTTGCTCTCAGGTTGCTCCTGCACTGCTCCTAGATTTGCTCCTAGATTGCTCCCAAATTGGTGACGTCATCGATATTCTATTTTTAGATGTGGTTGGTGGGGAGTATACACATGTAGTTCGCCACACATCGTCGTATTCCATAGACCTGACACCCAGGTAGAATCGCAAGAACGCTTCCCAAGTGGCATGGTTGTTGTACGTGTCACCAGCGGCATTGGCCATCTCACTGTTCTTCAACCACTCTTAAAACTCAGCCTGCCACTCGAGAATCGCCTCATGGTCGGAGTCACTCCAATACTCTGAGTGACCAGCCTTATGTCATGCGAGGATTCATACGGGGTTTTGAATTTCCAAACCAAGCCTTCAACCACATGGACGCCATTTCGGCGTATTCTTCATCACCGGTATACCAAAATGCCATTGTACCAGAGTATATCGCACTCAGCATAGTACTTCTCGCATCTTTATCGTGCTTGAGGCTTCCGTGCTCATTCACGTCACCATCACATTTCATATATACGTCTGCTTCATAGCATTTTTTGACAGTGGTCGGGTCAAAATCCTTGCTCAATCGCTCAAATTGATACTCTGTGAGAGATTTTTTAAAGTAGCTATCCACGAGTAGTTCATGTCGTGTCAAGTCATCAGCGGTATTGGCTGCGTCGATGCACAATTCTTCGTCGAGACAAGGAGCCGCACCTGCTTTCCAATAGTAGGGTGAGAAACTGACTGTTGCATATATAGAAAACAATGAAATATCAGTCACAGCTGTTGGGAATCATGAACTATTTTACTGGCATCGGATATATGCACTTCCGGCGATCAAAGTTTAAAGCGAGTGAGTCACAGTAGCATGAAAAGAACGCTTACAAATGAACATACAATAATCATTGAGAAAGGCTCCTTCGAACGGGGGTGCCTCTCCTTTGTCGTGGACAGTCTGAAGTTCTTTCTTTATATATGTTTTGGCTCGGCTCACAATATCGTCTACCGCATCGGCGATTTCATCTTGATTTTCTCTTAAATACAGCATGTCGTCTGCATCCATGTAGATTGTATTCGGCCGGTCCACAGCTACACCACGGGTGACCAGAGCGCTGGCCGTGCCGAAGAAATAAGCAGCTAAAACACAATTGGCTATAAATAGTTTCATGGTTCCAATTTAGAAACTTTCAAAATTGTACTGATAATAGTGTTGATTCTTCTGATTTTGTTGCCTATTTATATGTATATTGTATAGCGCAATAACTTTAAAAATCTCGAGTGCTTCATTTTGAACTTTTGAAATCGCTGCGAAACAAGAAAAGATTATAAGGTCATTGAGGTACAATTTAGAACGCTATGCATTGACTATTATTCTTTTTAAAAATCCGTGAAACCATGAGTCCACTGTCCGCGTGTCGAATTGTAGATGTGGCATTGTGGCGCGATGTGCAATGCTGCAATGCAGCAGCCAGCAGGATAAATACAAAAGACAATAATACATACCGAGAATCGCGGAGAGTGATTTTCCACAGATCTACATTTAGTTATGTCTTTTTAAAATAAAATGTATTTACGTGCCTCTAGTCATAAATGTGCTATTTTGTTTAAAAAAAACAGTTATCCGACTACTAAAACATATTTTAAAAAAAACTAAAAACTGCATAGCCTTCTAAATATTGCTTTAAAAAAAATACAAAAACAGAAAAGAACTAAGCGAAAAATAACCAAATGACTGCAGAGTGCTCTCTGTCGTTTTACCTTTTGTTTTAAAAAAAAGAATAAAAAGAAGAAAAAATAGGATTAAAAAAACGATACGTCACTCGTGTCAGGAAAATTTAAAAATTGCAGCAGATACAGCATATATATATATAAAATACTCGGCATGTATGTGCTTGTTTTATTGTTTGTTTTAAAAAAAAATAGAACACCAGCTCTAGGACTATTTATGAGGTAATGATAAATACGCTGCGTCGCGGAGATGGTGGCTGTTGGCGTTGAGCCTTTGGCGTTTGATATTTGTAAAATAAATAAAAATAATATAATCATATCCAGAATATGTGTTTTGTTATTTTATTACTATAAAAACGGTTTATAAAAAAGCAAAAACATTTTCTTATGTGGGTACTTGATCAATTTTTTATAAAACAAAAAGAAGAAGGCTACATGTTATGTTCTTTTTAGGAGGCTATGGTTTTTTCACATAGAAATCAATATGGATTCTAAAAAAAAATCCTTTCCGTTGTTTGTATTTACTGTATGATATGTACACTGTACTTTGTGTATTTTTAAAATATGGTGCAGTTGCCTAATACAAGTTATATTGTTTTAAAAAGATAGTCGGCCAAATGTTTTATTTAAAAAAGATGCGAAATACACCCCGAAAAAAAACTGATTTCGCAAAATCGGGTTGCATGGTTGCGAGGAAGCCAAAACTGCCCTAATAATTTTCGGCCATTTTTGAAGTGGCCAATATATGGACCTGGGGTGGCCAACATTGACACTGCACATGCCCACATGTCTCAGAACTGATTACTGTATGTCTTTTGATAGTAGAAGTCTATCCCACAGAAAAGGTAACATGTTACATTGCAAGATCTGTCCATACAGAATGGATGATGTTTTAATTAAAGCTGTCTCCGAGTTAAACTAAAATAGATAAAACAATACTTGGACTTCTGTTGGCTCGTTTCTTACTAGCCATCTCGGCGGTAACTATTTAATATACATTCTCAGGTACACGTCGATGAGAAGTATATTTCTTTTTCGCAAACGCTGCAAGTTGCAGAGTAAGACCCTTATCATACCAATTGAGGAAACGATAGGCACCCCTCACAAAACATCTAATTGTATCCAGTTTAACATTGTTCAGAGCTTCGATGACATATTTTTGAAGGCCTGCCCACGCATTCTTCTCGCACTTCAAACTTGGCTCGGTAATATCGCTCGATTAGGTTGCGCTCGCAATGGAAGTTCGGGATAAATACGCATATGTAATATCAATACTACTGTGGTTGCTGCACTGAACTCAATGATAGCGTTAATGTGCATGTCACACACATAAATATTCTTTTCGACCTGGAAAAATATCTATATCAATACCAATATTTTGCAGTTAGACAGATCTTATAAATGACCGGGCATGTCGATTTCTGGCCTCAAAAGTCCAAAATTGGTACTGGAAAATATTTTCCAAATCAGTCAGAATCAGGTTTTGAAACAGGTGCAATATCAAAAATGTGTCCTTGGATATTTCAGATCAGGTCTCTCTGAGCATTTTCCGCTATCAAACTCTCGAATCTGGTCATTATTTTCAATATTTTGAGCTCCATGGTTCGAGACAGGAGGGGTCATTTGGCCGACTATCTAGTGAGATTTGACTTTTGACTTTGGGACTTTGGGCTTTATTTTACACTTTGCAGTTTACACTTTGCAATTTGCAATTTGCACTGTCCAGTGTCCAGCCAGTGTCCACAGTCCAGACTCCAGACTCCGATTCCGGAGTCCAGACTCGAGCAGTCAGTCCAGTGTCCGGTATGCTGAAGAAAAACTACTCAAACTAGAGAACTGTTTCACGGCCAATCGGCCATCTTGTGATGGCGGACTTATCCTTTGTCGTATTTATACTTTGTTGTCGAGAAACTTAGTAGACTAGGCTGGTATAAGACAACACTTTACTCTATGACGACATGTTAAGACCGTCGGAAACTACTTCGCTATGACGACATGTCTTTTATTAAACTAAGAAGTGCGAAATACGTCATGAGCGAGGGGTCGGAAGCTATTTTGCTAGAAAACATATCATTGTCGTATACCAGGCCAGCTAGTAGAGGGCCATGACTTTTTTTTATACAATTTATTATTTTTAATATATTGTTGTTTTTTAAAAACAAAAATATTAATAAATTGTTTGCTCAATTTTCAGAAGGCTATGTTTTGTTAAAAAAACTACTCTACTAGAGGAGAGAGACCTATAAATACTACTCTAGTAGAGAGAGTGCTATTAGTAGAGAGCGTGTGTGACGTGTGTCTGTGTGCTGCACACTGCACAGTGCACACGACTGACTACACAGTACGTAGTACTGTACAGCCCACCGTAAAGTTGTGAACTTGTGAAGGCGTCCAACTCCCAAACGATATGTACGGGGAAATCATTATTGAATCCTGAATATTTTAGCTCTTTGTATAGCCAATGATATCCTGTTAAGAATGGTATTCGACCTTGGTAGTCCAATATTTTTTTCTTCAATTTTTAGATATAGGATATAATATAAATTAGGTGACTACCTATAGGGCTATAGCTAACTTTTGAGTGGAACATACTAGAATACATAGACACAAACTTTCAACGCACGATTTGCTATATAAAACTTGAACTCTATTTCTATATACTTTTATTGACTAAAATGAGACTTGCCGGAAAACAGTTGTCTGGGCTCTGGCTCTGGGCGGCTGGCTCTGGGTTAATTTGTACCGGGGTATTTTTTTCTCGCAGATTAGAGTCTTTTGCTCTTTTGGTACTTCTTTTAACTGGAACGGTATATTAGCGAAATTGGTTGAAAGTCTCCCCTGTGGGTAAAAATATAAAAAATATCACTCGATCATAAGTTCATAACTTTATTTTTGGTTGGAGTCACTTACTCGCGGATACTCTAGCTTAGACTTCACTCATTACTCATCAATCAGGATCTCAGAACTTCAGACAGTCCAGAGTATTCACCTTTTTATTTATATTGGACTTTTTACTTTGTCATTTTTTAAAAAAAGCTTTGAGGCTCAGTTCCGTAACTTCCGGGATTCCAAATTTCTGGCCCATCAGAGTATTCGATTTTTCAACATATACAAAGTCATTATCCTACATTATCCTACTGGATGCTACAAAAAGATATACAAGACTGTATACTTACACTTTTTTATCAAAAAAATAGTTTAAAGTGTTATGTGTATACTTTCAAACTTGCTTTATTGAACCTTCGTTAATTGCTTATCCTTCTTAATCTCGCGTATAAGATTCGACACCGATAATTCATTACCGAATGCATCGTATAGTTTTTCGATAGCTGATTGTACAGAATTACCACGGGCAATAAGCTTCTCCATTGCCTTCCAAAAAAATAATCGAAAACTGAACACTTGCTTCACACGACCCCTCTCCACCGATGTAAAATGTTTTTCTGGCTTATTCCCATTAAATTCAAATTCATATTCGTCCCATAGTAATTTTAGTGTTCTCGGACCCTTCATCAATATGGCTAGACGAATGGTTGTACTTCTGCTTGCACCCGAATTTTCCATCCCTTGATTATCGTCGGAATTATTATTACCTCGACTATTACTATTAGGTCCAGCGGCGTGATTAATCGAGCGGAAGTTCATGTTATTGAACTGACTCATCAGTTACCGCCTGGTACGCTTCAGCTCGTTTTGAATTTGATGGTGCCTGGCAGTATTTCTTACTTCCTTTTCTTCTGCCATCCGTTTCAAGTGACTTATTTTGGCTTTTAACGACACAATTTGGTTATAAAGATCCTGTACATTCTTACTGTTTGCAACGGTGAAATTGCTACCATTAGCACTTGTGTCGCCCTCTATTTCCTGTGCGCAAAAGTTGTCTGTCCCAGCGATGATAATAACTATCGGTGCGCGGACAACCACATTCAGTATTTCATCATCAGTGATGCTCGGGCATTTTGGCCTCAGCAGATTGATGCATCGATTATGATGGCTCTCTGGGACAAGGATCCTCCGATTGAGGCCAAGCCATAATGTAATTATGGATATGTTTATCCTTCTGCTGAAAAGACCCTCCACGACTTCACCGAAAAATTATAAATCCAATAAATTAGTATAGTCTGTTTGTAGTCGATATTTGCATGGGCCGTAAGGTTCGTAAAGTACTTCGGATACTTTCGCGTCTAAATAGGGCATGAGGTCACTTGAATAAGTGTCTACTTGTCTTTTGCTCCTTGCCCTATTTCTACTACTTTTGCTTTTTGCCCACCTGCCTCGGTACACTTTCGCATACTATGAGTCCCCATAGTTTAAATATCCCCTTTTGCATTAAACTCCGGCAGAGTAAATTTTTTAATTTAAGGCACAAAGATATGGGTCAAGTGATCCAAGAATTCCTTGTCTGCTAACTACACTGTACAGTTGAGGACTGTTGGGGAGTGTGGACTAAGCTCAATGCGTAAAAAGTTGTAACTTTTATATCTCAATAGTGCCCTTTCATATATGTTAAGTGCATTTTCCAGGTGATAGTCGTCACAACTGAAACGCTTAATCTCTTTTGATTGCCTATTATCAATTTCGTGGCCTAAAATTTTAATCGCTAATCTCTTTTGATTGCCTATTATCAATTTCGTGGCCTAAAACTTTCAACGATCGGACAGCTTATTGAGTGCAGTTTACAAAATAAGTTTGTAGCAGATTTGTCCTAAATTAAAGTTATAACTTTTAAAAAAATCAAAGTAAACATTAAAGTTGGAACTTATATTCCGTACCCCTATAACTTATTGAGCTTAGGTGTGGAGACTGGAGAGTGAAGAACTGACGACCGAAGCACCCGCGGTCTCGCAGTCCTGCACAGGAGGAGGGCACAGCGACATAACTATATTTGCATTTTTTTTTTAAATAGCAACGCTACAAATATTTACTCTTCCTATTTTTAAACCCAGTGTTTTTTTTTAAAACAAAGGCAAAAAGCAAAAATGTCCTTTTTCAAGAAGTTAAAAATGGTCATTATAATCTGAATCCAGATCCCTGGACCCTTTTGTTACAAAATGATAACAAATTTAAATAGTATCTAAATATATACCGCAAAAGAGAATACTACAAAGTCATTTTGTTTTAGAAAAAAACAATCCCATTACATACATTTCAAACAATATTTTTTTATATTTACTAATATATTATATAAACTATATAAAAGATTTTCCACAGGGAGTATTCTCTCAAAGGAACCTTCACCAAATATATAACAGCTCGGGATTCATGATTTACTAATATATTATATAAACTATATAAAAGATCTTCCT